GTATGGGAGGGTGTGTGGAGGGTGAGTGTATGCGGTGTGTGTGGGGGTGGCTGTAGATGAATTTAGAGGCGCTGCCCGTGCACTAGGTTCCAGGAGCCAGCCAGGAGTGAGGGGAGGCAGGGGGGTGTGCAGCATACCTCACTTGTGGACTGTACCTGTACCTGCACTGCACATCCTGCCCTCCTGACCTATAGCTACTCCTATGGTGGTTTGCATGGGGCCAAGCCTCGGCCACTCCCACTCAGGGCAGCCTGCACCACGCTCCTGCCTGCACCTGTTGGCCCTGAGCAGCTCTCACAGGTTCCCAGTGGAGCTGCAACTGTCCAGGTGATACTCCGCTCTCCCCACCTCCAGCAGCTTCTCTTCCTCCTCCTGCTGTGCCACTCCAGGCAGAGGGGTAGCTACAGCTGGGCGGGTGGCTCCTGTCCCGGCATGTAGAGCTCCAGGTTGCCTTCTACCCACTTGGCCACCTGCAGGCGGATGCTCATTGTGCTGGGCAGGCAAAGTGGGTGGAAAGTGGCTGGGAACTGAAGCTGGAGCCCCGCACGCTAGGGCAGGGCCTGCCCGGCTGCAGCTTTCCCCACATCCAGAGCAGCGCAGCATGGGCGGGAGGAGGAGCTGAGCAGTACACAGCCAGCTGCAGCTACACTGGGAACAGCCCCACCAGGGAGCTGTGTGCATTGGCTGGGGCCAGGGCTGCTGGCTGGCACAAGCACGGTGTGGGCTGAGCTGGGTGGGAGTGGGTGGGGCTCCACCCCAAGTGAAGCATTGCAGGGGCAGCAATAGGTTGGATATAATCAATTGGTGGATGCCCAGTGGCCAGAACCAATCAGTTGATCAGTTGGACCCAGCCTGCGGACCATATTTTGCCCACCCCGGTCTAAGGTCTAACCCCCTTGCTGTCCTGCCACACCAGAAAGGTCCTGCTGCATCACCCAGGGTGTCTCCTGTGGTGCTACACTTCCTGGGTACTCTGTTTCCAAAAGAACTTACTCTATGTCCAACTTCCAAGTGGCCAAGAGCTAGACGACCCCCAAGTGCATAAGAGCAAGCCACTGGCTCCCCCAGGCTGCGCGCCCCATGGACATCCCCCACACACACTGCATACCTGCAGCACCCCCACACCGCTACACCACGTGCCCACAACCACCCCATTAATTCACTGCTTTCCTTTCTGCAGCAGGGAAAATCCTTGCGCATATCCTCCTGAACCGTCTTCTACCTCTGGCTGAGGAAGTCCTGCCCGAATCTCAGTGTGGTTTCAGAACATCCTGTGGGGCAACTGACATGATTTGTTGCCTGCTGGATGCAAGAACAGCATCATGAACAACATCAGGACCTGTATATGGTTTTCATTGACCTTACTAAGGCCTTTGAGTGCATCAACTACAAAATCTTGTGCAAAGTATTGGCCAGATCTGGATGTCCTGAAAAGTACATCAAGGTCCTGAGGTTTCTCCACACCCAGATGACTGCAACTGTTCTATGTAGCGGATCGGAGACAATCAGTTTGTTATCCGGGCTGGGGTGAAGCAAGAATGCATCATTGCCCCAACTTTGCTCTCAATTTTTTTTGACATTTTATCATTTTTGTGACATCTGGTTCTCACTGAGGACTGCCCTCCTTCCAGAACTGACACTAAATACCAAATGGACAGACTGGGGAATTTTCACTCAAAGACCAAGGTGGTCCAAACAACCGTCTTTTACCTGCAACCTACTGACAACAGCACTATCCTTGCTCACGAGGAAAACCTTCAGGCTGCGCTGGATCTCCTTGGAGGGGATTACTGAACTTCAGGCCTCTCTCTCAACACTGAGATGCTCTTTCAGCCTGCCCCAGGTCATGAAGATGAACTCCGCCCCCAAATTACCATGGAGGGAAAAAACCCTGGAGGTATCCAATGCTTCCCCTGCCTCAGTAGCCACCTCAGGGAGTGAGCAGAGATGGATTGGGCAGGTCCAGGTGGGGCTGGTCCCACCTGCAGCAGGGCGTGGGCTAAATCCCACCCCGACCCCTTTCTCTACGAGCCCAGCAACACGGCTGGCGCTGTCCAACCCCACGGGTGCCACCCCAGGGCACACGCCACCTCCCTGCAGCCCCACCGGAGCCCCAGCCACCGTGCAAACGGCCCCACTCACCTTCCGGAGGGCCTTGGAACGGGAGACGCCAGGCAGCCCCACGTCGTGCTTGGTTCGGCGCCCCAGGACACTGAACTTCTGCCTGTTCACCTTCACCTCGAACGGGTTGTTCCTAGCCTTGGCCGTGGCCATAGCTGACCTCGCAGGGCCCTTGCTCCTGGCCTTTCCCATGGCAGGCTCAGCCGGAACCTACCAAGAGGACGAACGGGCCACGCTAAGCAAAATGGCGCCCGGGGGAGCGCGGCCCGCACTCCTTCAGCTCCCGCGAGAACCCCGAAATCGCGCGGGACCCCCGGGTATCCCCCAGCTCCTGCCTCCCTCCCCAGCCCCCACCACGGGTCTCCCGAGAGCTTGCACCAAATCTCGCGCGGCCCTCGTGCGCGAAGCAGCTTCCTTTTTTCCCGGCGTCCCCCGCGAGCCCCTTGGTGCCGCACTGCTTGCTGGGAGCTGTAGTCCGGCGGGGCGGGGCGGGACCAGGACCCACCCGGCGAGGGGCGTGGCCATCCCGCGCCCCGCCCCCTCGCGCCCCGCTCTGAGGACCAGCAGTGGTGCGGAGGGGCGTGCAGCGGGGATGGGGTGGCGTGGAGCCCGGCAATAACCCGCAGCTGGGAGTGCGGCCCGGGCCATGGAGATCGAGAACATCGTAGCCAACACGGTGCTGCTGAAAGCCCGGGAAGGTGAGCGCCGGGCAGCCCCCACGTCCAGCTCCCCCTTCCCTTTCCCGGGCCCGGCCCGCGGTGCCGCCTGCCTAGGGCTGCTGGGGTCTGGGCGGGGGCATGGGGAGACCTTGCGGGGCTGCCTCAGATCTCAAAAAGGCTGAACAATTTTCAGTGAAAATCCCTGTTATAAACAAACTGAACCAGAGACGCGGCACAGAAGCTGTCATGAGGTAGAGCTCACTTCATGCCTCGCAGGTTTGTCTGTCTTTATCCCAGCTACTCGGTCGGCACAAGGAAAGGTGTTGCCCAAAGACATCCTTGCCTCACACCATGGATGCTTCTAGCTTCATCTGCCTCCAGGAATGAGGTTTCGGGTGGGTGTGTGGAAAGATCAGACTTCTACTTTGAAGAGGGGTTTTAGGAAGTCGAACAATTTCAGGCTCTCTCTCAACGTTAGTCAAAATGCTGCCGCAAATGAGACGACGGTTTTGGGTGGTTTTGCTGGCACACGTGTGTGTGGTGGTGCAGCCTGAGTTGGATGCTCGCGCTGGAGCGATCTGAGCAATGAGGAGCATGTGGTGAGCGCGCGGGCACAGCAACGCTAGGAGCCAGATTTGCTCCGGGTAGGGTGGTAATCTGCGGAGGCTTTCAAGTGGCTTTTTAATGTCAAGTTGCCTTTTTAGGTTAGGTTTCACTATATTTAAAAAAAAATCATGGTGCTAGGACTGACCTAAGAGAGAGGTTTGTTTTGTTGTGTTTTTAGTGTACTCAGGCTAATGGTTTGACAGCAGCTGGCATGAACATCTCTAGTTTTACCTGGGACGTTTATTTTGAAGAGTAATGAAGAATAAATGTTACATTTCTAGCTGTTGTTCCTCCTATTTCCCACACATCAAGTAAAGCAAGAAAGAGTGTGATTTTTGGCTTTGAACACACACACGCGTGCACGCGCACGCACCCCCCCCCCTTAATTAGCAGGTATTCTTATGTGCCGTATGTTTTTCAGAGCTACCTAACTGTTAATGGGTTTTGCCAGACATCATGCGCTTGCTGGTCCCCGGAATGTCTGCTTTAGTCATTTCATCAGGACTGTCTCACAGCAGCTTAGCTGCTGTCCCTGGCTGAGAAAGCATTGAACAGGTCTGGATGCTAATTTGCACATGCATGGTTTACCAGACTGCACAGTTTGCTAAGAAAGGGCTGAACAGATGGGACAGAATTCTTCCTTCCATCCAACCCATTTCTTATCTCATGGTGTAGCGCAAAGGGGCATGAGAAAATAGGGAAGTGCAGTGCTGCTTCAAATGTAAACAGCTAGATCTTGAAGTGATAAAAAACCACACAGCTCCAACAATTATGCATGTAACGCTGAATATCAGGACTTCATCTTGCAACTTTCTCACTTGTAGAAGTTTGGATAAAAGCAGGCTACGTGACTTGTATAGGGCATAAGTATTTCTCCTGAGTCTGCTTATTACTTTTACCTAACTGACTCTGGTCTTAAGGAAATATTCAATCTATTTCCATTTTTCAAAGTCATGCCAAAAGAAAAATTGCTACAGTTATGGATTTGATAGGTTTGCTCTCTAATTTAACATTTTTTTTATAACAGAGATGGGACAGAAAAAATTTTGATTCTGAAAACACATATATTAATCATTACAACATTCTTGTGAGGTAGAAGGGGTTTTAGCTTCATTTTAACAAATAAAGAAAGTGAACTAGGAGTGTTGTTTTTTTGCACAAATTCACAAAGGAAGTTTCTGTCAAAACATTAATTTAGAATTAGGAAGTTCTGTGTCTTGGGCCAGATCCAAAAATGGACTTCAACACAAAGCCAGATTAGGGTAGACTTCAGGTACTTGCATCTTGTAAAAGTTGATTGATAAAGCGGTCCCATATTGGATCAGCACCAATGTAAGGAAAATTGACGTTATTGGCAATTGGCTTTTTTTGGCTGGTGTGGCTGATAATGTCACCAATAAATGCCGTGTGTGTGTGTGCAGCCGCGGTGCAGCATGCAGGCATCCAAAAGCACAGTTTGACAGTGTCTGGCTGGTAAGTATCTGTTGGGGGGGAAGGGGCGGGGGGAGGGAAGGGGCATAGAGCAGGAGTAGGAGCCACGAGCAGCTTGCGCACCTGAGGGAGGCGTGGTGGGGTGTGCCCCGAGATCTGTGCGTGGGGCGAGGACGGGCTGCTGCTGCAGGCTGGGCCAGGCTCTTCCTGCTGGGGGGTGCTGGGCCGGGCTGTGCTTGGGGGTGGGCGGCAGCACTGGGAGGGGGAGCTACAGCAAATTTTGAAGTGGCTGCAGCACCCCCCTTGG